AAGTCAGCCGAGAATCGCGCGGTTGCAAAACTGCCCATACTTTGTTTCTGCAGAGAGGCTTCCTCCTATTGCTAGCCTCCAATCACGAGTGAAATAGCCTGTCTCCCAAGCAGACTTCCACCAATCACGAGACTGATGTAACTGCCGTCCGCTGATGCTGAACAACCCAATTAGAGGAAGGCTGTTTGCAGAGACAAGCTATCTGCAGTTTCACTCGTGCTTGAATGTAATCAGTTATGCAAAAGATCCTGGAAATAGAGCTGCAGAGAGACGATTTGGACCTCCTCCCACCGAGTGTATCAGGTAAATGTTAACTAATTTGGAAAAGTGGGGGGCGTCTTGTACATGGGGGCGTCTTATTGTCGGAAAAATACGGTATGTATAACTTGGTTTATTCATACAATTACAAAATGTCACCTATTTATTAAATGTTAAAGTATAATTTAATCAGGCAATAATTATGTTTAGTATTTGAATTTACTAAAATATCATTAAATGTTGTTATTATAAATGGAACTATAAGCTGCAAAGTTCTAAGAAATCTTAATTTGTCAAATTGTAAAATCGTAAAACCAAAAGAGACCATCAACATGATAATAAGACTTATATCCTTTGAGACCCAGTCAAATGCAGAAATTTATAAGCCACCCTAGCTAGTGGGCTTCACAGATTTTTTATTGTACAGGGACACAAAAGAGGACAAAAATGTAAAAAGACATAAAATAGTTTGATAAAAGTATGAGAAAAATACTAAGTCCTGCAATTTCACTACTAGCCTCTCCTTTAAATGCTTTTTATGCTGAAGGTAACCATAGTACAAAAAGTGCAATTGCATATGCAGATATGGTCCATTCAGATTCCATGAATGGACTAAAGACAAAACAAGAATTACTTGGCAAAGGCCGTTTGGGGGTGCTTGTGGATCTAAATGTTTCTGGTTTCCCCAACCAACTGTTGGTTCCTCAACTAACAATTTACCTTAAAGCTTCCCTTGCAGCTGTGATGCACTTTGGAGTTAACTAGAAGTACCATAATATTTTCTATATGGGACTACTTTATGCCTAGTCTCAAAACTACAATTGGTGCCAATGTTATGGAACTCCTCATCCCTACTATCTGATCAGTTCTCCTTGTTAGGCATCAGGAAACATTGAATGAATAGGTAAATCAACAAATCCTTTGGCTTAAACCAAATGTATTTTTGCATGAATAGATGCTTTCTTCATTCCTGAAGAAGTGCATTGTTTTAGAGTTTATAGCTATGATAACGAAATAGTTTATTATAAAGATAAATTCCTAGAAACTCTGTTATTAGAAATATATGGTGTATTTTAGTGTTTCATTCCACTGTCACCTAAGCATCTACTGTCTTATTAAAACTTTGAAATATAATGAATAACTTACCACTTTCAAGAAAAAAAAGGAAAAGCATCCCTCCTCTTCAGGAGCAAAGAGGAAATCATCATCATCATCATCATCATCTGAGTTTTCTGTAGCTTTTTATTATTACATTACTCGTTTCAAGATCAAGCAGCAGTTCAAGGGAATTTAAGCAGTCTGATATGAAATCTTTAATATCAGCTAGATGTTCCTTATCAAAATGCAGTAACTCTTCTTGGGTAATTGTGTAAGCATATCTGTGCCAGTAGCCAAAAGGCTTCACTGTTCTTAATCTAGTTGAAAACCATGCTTCTGACTCAGTTTTCAAAATAAATTGCTTCTACTTCTGTTTATTGTTATTATATCAACTTTCTCCAGTCTAGTCTTTGGATGGTAATTTTTTGCTGTTATATCAATAGCTTGGCTGGGAATTCTGAAGTTGTAACATAACATATCTTGAAAATACCTGATTAGCATACTTACACCATAATAGTATTTATAATATATTTATTAAAAAAAATTATAATGGAAGTAAGTCCTATTGAATTTAGTTAGACGTAGTGAAGTAAGTAGAGGAACCTGTGATTGAACTATTACTATTATCTAATTGTTTGCTATTAGAATGTAAAACTTTAAACTGTTCTTAAGAGATGCAAGAAATCTTTGAAGAAGTTGGCATATACTGTACTTATAGTTCAGGTCATCCTCTCCAGCAAAGGGAAGAACTCAGCTCCTCCTCCTGTAGTGAGTACGAAAATCAGTTGCAGTCATGACTTGCTCTTAGGTTGCTGTTGAAGGGCATCCCTTGAGAGTGCCAGCAGTTTGACTGCTTCAGTCATCATTGTCAATGATGTAGGGAGAGGAAACTCCTGAGTCATAAGGAGAAAAAAGCTGAATATTCTGTTTAACATTGTCCATGAAATTTAAGCTAAAAAAGTTTTAGCTAACCAGTAAAGGCATATAAAACATTCACCCAAGGCAAGAGTAAAAGCAGGATTAAGAAGCATTTTGCTTTTGCTTCTGCAGTTTGTCTCTACCTGCTCCTTAGTGCTCTTTGCAGGCAGGCAGGCAGGATTTCTTATATCAGAAAACAAGCCCAAATCATAGGTACATTCCTCATGTTGGTCTTTGTACAGATGCTGTAGTTCCACAGGGCACTGTTTTTGTAAAACTCATTTTCCATCAAAATAAATGGAAATCGGGTGTGCACACTAAACTCAGAGCAGTACTTCAGAACTCTTCATTGGACATTTGAATGCACACCCTCTTTACTTGCATTGCAGGTTAAAAGATCTTCAAAGTGATAAACTTGGGCTTGAGAGACTTCAGACTCAGTTGTTTATAGGAGGATGGAGTAAGGATTTGAATGTACAACTGGCAGTATGTGCATGGTATTCATGTATAATGCTTGGTCCTCATATATTTAGGGGGAGGGAGGGAGGAAATCAATCTTCATAGAGTTGAAACTTGATTTTCATAGGCAACATCAGTGTTCAGTCTAGCTCTCCTGATGCTTATGTCATAATTCTTCTGTAGCTTTCTGCAAATTTTTCCTTTATGGACAACAAGCACAGTTCCTATTCCTATTCTGTCTATACTGGTGGAGTGTCCTTTTGCAGAGCTCTGACTTTCAAACAGGGCAAATAATGATAACAATAATAATAAAGAAGGAAAAAATACAGGATTAAAACGATACAGAAAAGAATACATAGAAAAGAATACATAATGTATAAAGGGTAAGTTCAGATCAGCCAGCCTGGCTTGGTCATAGTATTTGTGAAAGGATTCTTTAAATTATAATTGTTCACAAGCCGAATATGAGTCAGCAGTGTGACGTGATTCCAAAAAGATAAGTGCGTCAATAGAATTATATTTTCAAATGACTGAAAAGAATAGTTCTACTTTATTCCACGTTGGTTAGACCTCCACCTTAAGCATTGTTTCTACTTCTCAGTGGAATTTTAAAAGGATTCAGACAAATTGGAATGGATTCAGAAAAGGGCAGTGAAGATTAACAGTGGATTGGAACTTAACTCCTGGAGTGACAAATTAAGAAAATGGATATGTTTAGCCTTGAGAAGAGAAGGCTGTGAGGAGAAATATAACAACATTCTTAAAATACATCAAGTGGTGTCACACAGGAGAAAGCTAAGACCTGTTTCTCTGTCATTCCAGAATTTAGGGCATAACATAATAGACTGAAGGTACAGGAAAGTGGATTCCAGTTTAGTATTAACAAAATAATTCCTAAGAGTTACAGTATTTCGACAGTGGAATCAGCCACTTGGAGAGGTGGAAGATTCCCCTTCACGGGACATGTTTAACCAGAGGCTGGACAGCCATTGGTTCAAGATTTTAAAATCTATGTCTTTAGCAAAGGGCCCAGCATAAATGGTTATTTCTCACTCTGCAATTCTGTCGTTCTAATTTAACAGGCAGGTTGAATATCTTAAAGTTAATGGCTTTCTATCGCTTGAAGCTATCTGGCTATGGCTATACTGCAAAGTGGATGATGCCTTGACATTCATCTGCTCCCCCACTCTTGACACAGTGACCCTTAAAATAAGGGCTATTTATATCTTTGATAGTGTTGTGCAGGAAAAGCACCATCAGGAAAGGAATTATTGTAATGGGGCCATGTGATGGTGGTTTGGTTTATTTTTGCCACTATTTCCTTCTCATTTATGCCAGTTTTTTTTTACATTGAGTATTTTGCTAATTTAAATCAGCTTTGAGGCATATGGTATGCAGATCAGAACATTGTTTTGAAGCCATTGTTAAATATGTTATCATTGAAGCTATCCTGTTAGAAACCACGTTCATGATGCTGAATGTGGACAGTTTATTAGTCAATGTTCCATTGAAAATTAGAAGTAAAGATTATCTCCATTTTAAATTAACAGATGAAACAGGGTTATGGAAGATTTTTTTGTTTATTCTGAATATTTTGCGGGATATAAACTGACATATTAGAAAGATGAGCAATCTAATAAGAATTCTGAAAGTTATAACTTTGTAACTGCATGATTATAGATCTCCCATCTCAAAGCTTCACGGGATAACTCTAGCTTCTAGCATGATGAGAGAGGATAAATGATTTCTCCATATCTGCCTTCTCCAGAGATTCATCCTTTTATATGCTTCTGCCTTGTTCACTTACACAATTTTTCTCAGCTAAAGAGTCCCAGACATCTTGCCTTATTTGAAGTTGTTCTAGCCCTTTGATTGTTTTTATTGTCTTTCTTTTTATCTTTTCTATCTAGTGATACAGCATTGGCCACCATCTAATGAAGTAGAAGACTGCAGTATATTTAGAATTAATCAGATCTAAAGCATTGTTTCCATCTTATCCAAGAGTTTGGGTAGTATTCAGGAAAGCCTTCGACAATACATATTCAGGAGTATTTTTTTAAAAAATGCACGCCTACAAACCAACAAACAGATGTGTGCATAATCTCAAACGATCTTTTTGACAATTGCCTTAGTCTAAAATAAGTATTTGTTTTGCAGCATGCAGCAGTGATACAGTTTCAGATCTTGTTCTGTTGCTGAGTCATAGCCAGGAATTATAGTTGTGTACAAATTTACCTGTATTTGCCATATTCTTTCCTGTCTTTTAGAAGGAAGATGCTGTAGATGAAGAGATGGCAGAAAAGCTTTCCATTCGAAAGCAACGTTTTATGCAGTTTGCTTCTTTGGAATATGAAGGAGAATATTACATGACTCCAAGAGACTTCCTGTTCTCAGTTATGTTTGACAAATCAAAGCGTAAGTGCTATTTTTCTTTCTAGTTTAGTTGACTTGTCCATTTGCCAACTTAGAGCATCCTATTTGATTTTAGTCAAGAGAAATAATAGAAATAAGAATTTATCCTTATTTGTGTATCACTTTAAAATGAGACAAACTGAATTAGATTATGCAGTTTGTTCTGAATGCAGCCTGCAGAGAATAGACTTACAATCTACACTCCCATGCCTGATTTTGCTCTTGGTCATATACACAGATACCTCAGCCCTTCGCCCTGCTAGATATAGAAGAGGCTTCATCTTTTTAAAACAAAGAGAGAAGTCTGTGGAAAGAGGCTGAACAGGAAATGGGGTTTCAGTCTGCCCAATACCCTCTGATGAATATTTGGAATCTCCAAGAAGTTGGAGGAATCTAGGAACATTGAAACAAATGACTGTTTGCTTCAAATTTATGGAAAAGAGTAAAACATCTACTGAGGAATTAATTTTTGTTTTCTCTGTTGTGTTGAGTCTCATTTTCCTTAGCTTTCTGGAATATAAATTATGGAATTGGATGTTTAATTTCAGAATATACAAGGCTACCTGTATAAAGATACTTTTTTTCCTTTAGAATATTCTTGTTATATTTTGCCAGAGACTCACTGTTTTTTGAAGACCAGTGCCATCTTGTGGTCTGTCTGGAGCACTGAATTTTCTTTTGGATTTTCCTTTTTCAACTAAATTTTGTAATTGTTTCCTTTCACATTGAATGTCTACATTTTAATAGTTTATGATAATTTTTTAATGTTTTATCCTCTTTTATTTTTAATAATGTCATTTGATTTGGGGACCTGTGAGTTTGATTTATCTCCAAAGGGGAAGGAAGAGCTGAATCCTCTAGTCACCATGTCTTTACACTACAGAGTCAGGAGGTGGCCCCACTGCAGTCATTTCAGTTTTTGCATTTTGACTTTTTAATGGCCAGAAAGACATTAGGGTGTGTGGATGTCAAGTGAGGTGCCCCTTGGATGATAAATGGTGACAGCAAGAACTTCTAAGCAAAACGGGAGGCAAGGCCAGGACTGATCATTTGCTCTGCCTCTCTGTTTTAAATAACTGAAACGGACAACTCCAAATTGTGGAAAATTCTACCCAGGGTCATTATTAATGCTTCTTTTTGCATTACAACTTTATCACAATTGATTGATTGTGGTGACTTTTAAATAAGTTATATGTCTGTTCTGCCTAAAGAAACACAGGGTACGTGTACTGCATGTAGGAAAATGCTGGTTGAATCCATTGCCATTGAAATACTAATGTCAGGTTTAGTTTGAACATTGGTGGTAGCAGATGATTAGTAGCAGAAAAAAAATTTATATCACAAAGAACTGAATTTATAAAATTTAGATTGCAAAGAAATGTGATGAATGTTTTGACATTCATTTGGTATCTAACTAGAGAGCTATTCAAAAGTTGTTTTTCTGAAAGGGAGCATAGTTGTAATCACTGATTCTGGTAGCAGGTGGGGAATTTCTTTTTCTTATATATGTAAAGCTAAAAGTGACGTTTTGCCTGTAAAAGTGTGCTTTTTCCTGATTGGTGCTTTGTGGGTCTGCTATTTGTTTTTTAAAAGCTATGTAATTGGATGTTTTAAAAAAGGTGGAAAGGTGCAAAAAAGCACCCAGTTCATCTTCTGAGCCAAACTTCCATTGGAACCTAAGCTGTAATAATTTCTGTCCTTTCATTCTTATAACAGCAAAAAAATCAAGCTAGCATTACTTTTTATTGCAGCACACAGATCTTCATAATGTTTTTAATCCAGTTGCATGAGTTTAAAATATATAGAATGAAGTTGTAAATCTGGAAAATAATTGAGTGTTTCATATAATCTATCTATAAATTTATTTGTTTGTTTATTTAATTTCTATAGTTGCCCATCTCATTATCAAAAATATCTAAAGATTGAAAGATATGATGCTTTGTCATGATAGACTATATCCAGATGTCATGATAAGCCGTAGAGCAAATTTAGTTGCAAGTGCAGTTCTCATTCCACTAGCTAGAGGATGCACCGTACAAGTTAACCAAGGTCAGTGTAAGATATGATCACAGAACTCTAGATGTATTTATCCAAAAGTATCCAGAAAATGAAGTTATGGTTTATTTTTCAATATGTTAATGGCTGTATTCTGGGTTAGGGTTAGGGTTAAGAGAACTCAAACCAGTTTCATTTCCACTACATTCACATGGGAGATGGTTAAGGACTAGAAAGGGGGAAAAAAGCTATAGTAGCCACCTGTCTCACATTTAGTCTGGTGCGCTCTGACAAAGTAAGTATTTCTAGTGGTGGTCTTTTATAGTAATATCTTTTAAAATTATTGCAGCCTGATTGCTCTGGAAGATGCGTGTTAGCCACACTAACAGCAATTTCTAGGAATTGTAGTTGAAATATCTGAAGGGCAGCAAACTGGGGAGCCTGCATTAGGGCTGTTTTTCATGATTTCAGTTTTCTACCCATGTGTACATGTAATGAATAGAAAATACATTAGTTTTTTAAAAAGTAAAATATCTAAAACTTTATTATTGTTGTTGTTGTTATGCAGTGTAGGAACGTTTGAACAGATTGTTCCTATCTCTCTTGAACATTAGTTTTTCCTTAGTGTTATGAAATTTTAAATATTTTTAAGCTGTTGGTGGTGTTCAGATCATATTACTTGCAATTTTTCTATTAAAAACATGAAGAAATGCTACAGAACTCAACAAAGCTTTGACTTGAAAATGATTGAGTAGTGTGTTTTTTGTTTTTGGACAGGTAAAACTTTGGCCAAGAAACTGACAAAAAAGGTAGGCAAAGAGCTCATGCTGTTTGTCAAAAGAACTTTTGTTCTTTCTGTTACTTGTTTTAATGGATTCTGCTTTCACAACTAACTTGTCATTTATTTGGTTTGTTCAAAGGAAGTAGATTCTACTCTAGCAAATGTTGCGAAGGCTAGACCAGGACCAACCTTTTTTAGAGACCTTGGAGACAGAGGTAACAGTTCAGGTTATTGGTGTAATTAATATTAAAAAAAAAATTGCCTGAGCTTTCAGTATGTGGAAATGTTGCTTGAGGTCCAGGCTGCTAGATTAAATATTTTGTGGGAGCTATTTCAAACTTTATTTTAGCTCTAAGGCAGGCAGGCAGGCAGGCAGGCAGAAGATTTTGTGAAGAATTCTGATTAGCAAGAAAACATGAAAGTCTGTAGCTTGCCTTTGCTTCAGGGAAACTAGCATATAAATAATAACAGTTCTGCAACTCATTTTGACAGTACACTATAAAACCATGGGATTATTTAGGTTTCCTAAGCTACTATTGTAAGCCCTTTGGTGTAGACCAAACTCAGACACCAAAGTCATGAATGCTAAAACTCTGAATGTGCCTCCCCCCTCCCTGCCTTTATCCTAAAGAGAACTAGGGAGGGTCCAGTCTGAGATGCTTTCTCAAATTCTATTCCTGTTTTGGGCTGAGATTTCTCTTATCTGACTGTTGCCTTGGCTGTGACTCTTCCTTGAGGCTATTCTCACAGCCCATTACACTAGTTTCCTTGAGAAAGTCTGTCTATATGGACACTGACTTGATGGCACATAATCAGCCAGAAGTTACTAATTGGTTGGAATCTCATTAAGTTCATTTCTGTTCCTTGTTTGAGTAGGAGGCATTAGAAGAGATCTGAGTGTATTTGATCTCCAAAATATGGCGTATTGGTCTTTAAAATTTGACACTCATAACCCGTGTCTGTAGCGTAAGTTGTGTACCCTGTTTTTAAATGGAAATGATAGCATAGAAAAGAGTTTTTGAACAGCAACATTTGTAATAGGAGGAATTGAGAGAGAGTGTGACTCAGCTGAACTAATAATGGGTGATGAGCCAGGGATTCTTCAGTGAGACCATTAGCTTAGAATCTCATGAATCAGCCCTGAGATAGAGCCAGAAATACAGAAGGAAGCGTACTCGATACTGAATGAATAAATTTGTGTATGTATATATACTCAATCTTTTCTCTGCTTCCATTCTGTGAGGGATGGAAAAACAAAAGGAAGTAGAGAAATACTTCCATGCAGAAAGAGAACTTCCCCTGCCGCTAGATGAATAGAAGCAAAAAATAAAATAAAAATGACCATGTACTTGGCTATTCTAATTCTAAACACTTCTATGAATGTGTGATCTTTCTATAGGTCTAACTTTCCCATATGACTGTTAGACATATTTAATTACTTTCATAGTTTACTTTATAGAGCTGCTTTTTTCAAATATACATGGAATTGCCTAGTTTCTTACATGCCTAGTAGATGATTGGTTTTTGAAATTAAAGTTTGGTCAACAAACCTTTCTATCAAAACTTATAGAGATGTTTAAAAATGCAAACAAGACCCAAGAAGGCCACTGTACAATTTACAAATAGGGTACATTCACAGTCTTACATAAGACAATTCATAAAACATTATACAGAGGATAATATGGTTTCCTATCAGTTACTTCAAATTAACTATTTGTGAGCTTAGTGTGAGAGCAGCAACAATATATTTACCTGTATGTACAGTTACTACTTGCTCAAAGCCAAAAGGGAAACATGCAGCATTGTAGTCTTTTGTCCTATCAAGGTGTAAGGTCAAAAGTAGGGCAATCGATTTGTCCTAATACTATTTTTAAAAAAGTACATTACATCAGTGCATGTTCTATAGTTTCAACTACCCCTACCTAACAAGGCCATAATTTCATTTTCAGAAGGATTTTTGTGAATCTCCCTTATGTAACAGCTGTGGGGTGGCAGTTAAATTGAGCAGCATAATATATTTGTCTATATTTAGGTATCTTCATATGTTCCAGATACCCAGCAGTAGACCAAAATTGTGCCTTTTGCTTCATTTTAATGGGGGACAAGCATGTTTTGCCTCTGCCAGTGTTACCTGAAAATCCAGCAGTCAGGTTCTAATTTGTCTTTTTGTTTCCATACATAACTTCATAGATGAAATAAAGAGAGACCAGTTGAATAAGCTTTGGAGTTAAATCTTGTGACAAGTGCTGGCATAGGTGTCCTTTAACACCAGGGCTAGGTCATTCTCTGAGGCTAACTTTTGGAGTGCACTGATCCAAAAGCTCAGATAATATGTCCAAGGTAAAGTACCAACTCCAGGGAGACCTACTTCCAGGCTTAGTCCAAGTTTTTAGCCCATCTGGATAAAATAATAGACCTCAGGAACCTAGACAGGACTTTTTGCACTCTTTTATTCAATCCTGAATACCAAAGTTGAATGCCCTATAGTATTTTAGTAATTACCTTAGCTTTGCACACTATCAGAGCTGAGGGGATATGACTTCCTCCTTTTGTACGGAAAAACTATATCGGGGTTGCTGACAGAGTAGCTGCACTCTGTGAGACATGATTTCTATGCCTGACTCAGCTAAGAAATGTTTGGGGTACAACTACTAAGTAGTTGCAATGTTTCACTTATTCAGTTGGGTGCCCTTCCATAATCCAGTTATATTTCTTATGTCCTCCAGAAAAGTCTAAAACCTTAGTCTTTTCATAATTTTTTTATTTTTTTATTTACTTGACAAATTTATATAGCCACCCATTTCACTAACATGACTCTGGTTGGCATACAATAAAACAAACAATTAAAAACAAATCTTAACCATTAAAACAATAAAATATAAATAAGATTGCAGGAGAAATCTCACATACAGTGCAACCATCTTTACCGCAGGATCTCTAAGCTTGCTGAAAAAAAACCCCTTTTTTAGAGATTTTTGGAAGTATAATAAGGTTGGAGCTAATCTCACATCAGGAGAAGTGATGTTCCAAAGGGCAGGTGATACTGCAGAAAAGGCTCGTCTCCTGGGTCCCGTCAGATAGAACTCTTTAACAGACGGGACCTATAACACGCTCTTCCTTCCTGATGGGATCTGACTGAAAGAGCCTCACATGAAAATTGTATTATCAGACTACATGGTCTGATTCTAGTTTGTGATATCAGTGCTGTATCATCAGCATATAATTGAGGTAGGGGTGATTTTCTTCCCAGCTAATTTTGGGAGAATATAATATGGAGAGTAGAGGGTAGAGGCCAAATCATTTATTTGCACAATAGTTTTTGTGTTATTTCTTGAATTGATTTCTACTTCTACCACCACAAAACAATTTTTATTTTCATCTAATAGTGCAGCTATTTTCATAGAGCAAAATCCTTGCTTGTAAGCAACTATAATAACAGCTATTAAATTCAGTTTTATTACTTTTTCCCTAGGTATTGTACTTTTTCTGAGCAGTGAACTTTCTCAGACTTTCAGTTGAAGGCAATTGTGCCTCCTAGTGGAATATCTTTAGCTCCCCATTTTCTTATTCTACTTTAAATTTTATAACAGTGTTAAGATCCCTTGTATTTTGTTAATATTTTAGATTCTGGATAGCTTTATTGTAAAAGTAAACTATTAAAGTATATTCAAGCATCTTAGTACTGAAAACTTTTTCTTTTGTTTTTACCATAAGAATGTATACATGTTTCCCTTTTTTTTAAATTGCATTTTATAATCTTTTAATTAATTGTGTTGGCTAATTTAGAAATAAAACACATTCCAAAAATGAATTTAATTCTATGTTGGCTCAACTTCTGTGCCAGCTATGTAAAAAGTAAGATGGTATTATGGCATTAACTCTATACTTCCCCAAAATGCTTTCAATCAGCCAGGTGCATATTAACCCTAATAGTATCAACCAAAGCCAGAAAAAAATGTAAAATATGTTATAGCTTTATTTTAAAAGACTCTTAATTAGATTCAGAAAATAGTATTTTTATACTTTTTTAGTTAGTGGCCACTTTAAATATATTTTGTTGAGAACATACGAATTCAGAAGGGCAGGGACTCTGTAATAGATTGTCATAAGCTTACTGCATAGTGCCTGTTTTGTGTAGGATGATAGTTGCCCATAGCCACTAATCAAAGCAGATAAAAGCATCCTATGCTTCTACATGATTTTACTACAGTTGTACCTTTTGTTAAATTTACTTGCAGTTAAATTTACTGGGAGTGCTAGGCTTGAACTGAGGTATGAGTTCCAATTCCATCTCAGCGGTGGTCAAACTCCTATCAGCTTTCACTTTCATTCCTGTGAAATAGGACTGATTGCAAATTGTAGCTGGATGAGGTAACTAAATAATGTTTAAGGTACGAAATTGGATGAAAATCCAAATTGAATTAGAAGGCCCTGGAGATACAGATAGAGTTTAAGAAACTATGCGAGATTCCTTAAATTTTGTTCATCTTGCAGTGTTTCTCTGATATTTAATAGATGTTTGCAGTTGTTTCTTCCAAAATATTGGATAAAGACTCATGAAATCAATCCTATACATAAAGTTGCAGATCCTGAAATGTCACCAATATCATGGAAAAATGTTTAGAAAAAACGCCTTCTCAGTGCTAGCATAAAGGTTATCATGGACCAGTGTAGGTGAGAAAGCATTGTTGGATGAGTAGGCTGAGTCAGATGGAAGAAAAATGAGTGAAAACAATACAAGTAGTCCTCTACTTACGACTGTTCATTTAGCGACTGTTTGGAGTTACAACGGTGCTGAAAAAAGTGACTTATGACCAGTCCTCATACTAATGACCATCACAGCATCGCTGCGGTCACATGATCAAAATTTGGGCATTTGGCAACCAGCATGTATTTACGATGGTTGCAACATCCCAAGGTTACATGATCGCCATTTTTTACCTTCCCAGCCAAGCAAAATCAATGGGGAACCACATGATTCACTTAATGACCATGTGATTCGCTTAATGACTGCATGGTTTACTTAACGACCACTGCATAAATGTTGTAAAATGGGGTGTGGTCACATGATGCCTCACTTAATGACCACACTGCTTAACGATGAATTTTCCGGTCTCTTTTGTGGTAAGTTGAGGACTACCTGTAGGTCTATGCCGTGTTTTTGATTTGATTATACATAAGTGCAAATACAGCACCTATCAGTTATTCATTAAAGCAGATTTATCTGTTCCATGGCTCCAGCAGAAACTCTATGGTAGCTAAGCAATGTTGGATATAGATGCAGCTGCTTTCATGAGTTCCAATTGGTGCTGTGTACACACCCCTCCTTGCTCTGAAGCACTTTTCTGAAACTGAATCCAAAACACTACATAGCCCTAGAAAACAATATATCCCACAGTGTGTTGTTAAGAGTTGCAGTAAAAGTCTTAATATTTATCCTATACTCCTTCTGACTTCAGGGGTATAGGTTTTATGCATCCTTGAATTAACATAGCAACCTATTACTTAAAAGTTAGATATTTATTTTAGATCAATTATGAGTGGCCGAGTCCACTCATAGGAATTATTTAATGTGGAAATCCTAAAAGTTTGTGTGGGGGGAATCTCCTTGTCTTTCAATTTGTTAAACGTAAATCCCAGAAATAGCTTGCCAGTGAATTGTAGAGTTCAAACATTTGCTTTCAACATTTCTTCCATTGTGCAGGATGAGTTTTTTGTTTGCATGTTAAAAGTAGCTTGTCTTTGTGTGTGTGTTATTTATAAAAGACCTCTTTTAAAAATTCTTAAAGTGCTCTTACTGGGGGGGATGCTTCAAATTCTTTTCTTTAACCCATACACTTTATATACTTCTCTATCTTTAGCTGGCATGTTGCTATTTTGACAGTTGCATCTTGTGTTTGTTCAGGCTCTTCAGTAGGTCTTTCAAAGGGAAATGTCGGAATTTTCCTTCAAAAGGGAAGAGAAAAGACACTTTCACCTTGTAGAAAGGATGTGTTCAGCTTTTTAAATTTTTTTAAGAGCCTGTTCCTGGCTCCATGCCCGGCAGTTCTATCAGTGCAATCTAGCAGCTTGCCAGCTTTGTGTTGCTGTATTCCCCCTGAGATTTAAAGAAAATCTGGTCTTCACATTTCGAAGACAGCCAAAGGATGAAATACTTTGATCCTTCAGACCAACATTAGAATAGGTCTCCTCCCAAGTACTAAATATGACAAAGCACACTTAATTTATTCATTCTTTGTATAAACACTTTCTGTAAAAAACCAGAGATTTAGGGGAGACTTTCTATTAATTCCAAATAAACTAAGTCTTTTAATAAGACATCGGCATCATGGGGATTGTAGAGCTCTTGAATGGGGAGCAGAAAAATCTGATTTCCCTGAAAAATAATAGTTACTGCTTCATTTAATAGATCAACAGCATTCAACTGAAGAACTTTTATAAAGGAATCTGATTGTGCAAGGAATACTATAAACAAAGCACATTGGTGTGCTGATTCTGAATATTACAAAACTAACCTTTTAATCTTGTGCTTCAGGACTGATTTCCTATACAGAATACCTGTTCTTGCTGACAATACTCACAAGTAAGTATTTTGGTAGTGACTGATCTTTCTAATTTAAATAAATATTAATCTCTAGTATGAGCTCCTTTTTACTTATATGATCCAGTTCAAAGTTCAGCTGATAAAAGTATGAACTTAGAGTAATAATTGGTCACATACACACTGAGAAATATAGGAAGACCCTTTCTACAGGACCTTAGAAAGTGAAAGCATCTTAAGCTGGCCTTACCTGTTGACTTTAATGTCTAGAAAAGTTCATATTGTGGTAGGAGGTCCCTGAGATATCCAGGCCTCAAGCTGTTCAGTGCTTTAAAGGCTGAAATCTTAAATTGTTCCCAGAAAACAACTAGCAAGGTCTTTTAACAGAAATATAATAAGCTCCTGAGGTTGTGTCCTACCTGTCATACTTTACAGTAAATAAAGCTTCTGGGCACATCTCAAGGATAGCTCCACATTGCAATGATTAAATTAGAGTACCCCTTAGGCGTGGGTAATTATTGCCAAGTTGCGCTAGCATACATACTGGTACATTAACATAATTGCACAAATGCAGTGTTTGACACTGCTTTCTAGTGGGGGTGCACAAAAAATCTCTGGGATCAAGAATCACTTCTAGACTGAAATTGCTCTTCGGGGGGGAGTACAAATCTGTATCCTATTTTCCTATTGACCAACCCCATGATGCCTGGATTAAATTTCAACTTGTGTACCTTCAGCTTGCATGGCCCCTTTCTGTCTCTTCCCTGTTCCTTGAAAAGATCTTCCCAACATAGACAGAATGAGAGAAAATGTGTTTAGGGATGTCAGTATTTAAACACACAATTTTCCAGGACACCTGTTAGCACCTTCCGAGATCAAGGGAATGGTTGGAGGAGAGTAAGCACCAGCTTCTTTCCAAATGTCTCTGGACTATAATTCCCAGAATTCCTAGCTGCATCTCCAAGTCATCAAATTGAGGAAAGCTGGTGTGCAAGGCTGAAGCCTATTTACAGTCCTGAGAATTCATCCCTCTGATTGAATAGTTTTTGACTGGGTTTGTCTGTCTCGGCGTCTCCATCCCACAATGGTTTAAAAAACCAAATTATGGGCTGTTCCTATTTTGATAAAGTTAAATGTTCTTTTTATAGCCAACACACAAATATAATTTCTATTAACAGCCAATATGAATATCTGATATTCTCATCCTAAAAGTATTGTCTACATAATTAAATGCGTGTGGAGCTTTTCTTTGAACCTCCCTTATTTTATAAATACATACCATTGAAGCTGCATCATATCAGATAAGAATGTCATCTACTGAGCTGTGTGAGCCGCTTTAGCTCCTCTGTGTTATGTGGGGCTACCTCCTTATCAGCCTATTGCAACAGATGGTATGCTTCACTGTTTTATCATTTTGCTTTATTCTCCAATAATGTAATAGGCCCCATATATAGTGTTACTGGCTCAAAATGTCAACTTAATAAAATTCAGTAGCCATTCTCAATCATTATGGCTTCTTCTGAGCAATAGACTATAGATGTCCTGTTTGTGAAATATTTCTTGATATTCATGAATGTTGTGTACTGGGAATTGTAGGGATTTTTAAAGTTACCTAGTCAAAAATTTTGAAGGGACACTTGATAGGCTCCACTGTGGTATATAATTCTAGAAATGTATGTGTGTGTGTATATGTGTATGTGTAAAAGCTTAAAGGAACATCTCATTTTCCCTGATATTTTTTGTGTACTCTTAGTGGATCTTATGTCTTCACTGAAATAGCTGGAATCTTTTCCCCTTCTAACTGGTTTTGCTGTTACATTGGCTCAGTTGTAAGATTCTCTGTTTGATTCTCCAAACTATGATTTGCTGAGCCTCTTTTTAAGTAGCGCAAACTGTAGTTTAGGGCACTCCCATATTATGTATAAAACTTGTAACATGTGTCCTTAAACTAGCAACCAAATTGGTAAATTTTTCATTTTTTAGATACTTGGTTTTGTCAATACTCAGTACCCTCTGCTAGCAAATCTAGAAATGGTTTAAAAATATGGCCTCATGTTTATTTATTTGTGTTGTTTATTTATTTATGTGATAGATTTATATCCCAACTTTACTCCAGGAGCTTGAGATGACATCCATAGAATCTCTCACCCAGTTTTCCCCACAAAAACAATCTCTGAGAGTAGGTTGGTATAAACTGAGTGAATGACCCCCAATCACCCAGTGGACCAGTAGTTGAGGATAGCCTTGAACCTGGTCCTCCCTGGTCCTAGTACAGTATCTTAACTATTACCCCACACAATTTGCTGTTTTGTAAATCTGGAAGTATGTGTCTATTTATAGAGGACTAGAGTAGTAGACAGTATAACTTACATGTAAAGTTTTGTTTTTTTTTTTAACAAATCTCTTATTTATTGTAGAACCACAAACTGGATTTCATATTGCTTTTAAAATGTTGGATGCTGATGGCAATGAACAAGTAGAGAAAAAAGAATTCTTTAAGGTATGGTTTTAAACATTTAATCAGTTGTCCTTGCTGGCTGGGAGTCATGTATGTCAAATATATCCTTCTACTTTCTCTTATTAGTGAAGTACAGTGTTTAGTATTACGTGTTGGGGCAAAACAGTTACTTCAGAACATCAAGATTTCCAATTATGGTTGTGGAATTGAGAAATTAGAGACCAAAGCTGCTAATACATCAACTCTAGAGAAAAGTCTCCACTTAATATAGAAGAGTATTTTAACTTTTTATCATGATACACAAAATACAAATTTAAAATAAAATGCCAAGATGTTCAATTAACATATTTACCAATGAATTTGTTCTGCTGCTAAGATCATCTAGAGAGAAGGTGAAGTGTAGTGAATATGATGAAATTAATCTAATAATTGTTATCAGGTTTGTTTCCAGGAAGCAGAAAGTGAGGATTCCACAGATTCAAATGGTTGGGTGAAATATTGAAAATCCTTGTACAGCAATATCTCCCTGTTTTATTTCATCCAATGACATTCAGAAGTTTAGCTGTAAATAGCAACAACTTGTCTTTAGGCATGGTCCAGTCAGATGTTCCTCCATACTTTGTTTGGTTGCTTTTCAGCAGTATTAAAAAGTGAGATGGAAGAGAAGAAATAATTTCTTATTCCAGTTTGCCTTGCCTAAACTGACAGATCAGGGAAGGCTGATCTTGCTCCAGGAAATGGTAGGAAAAAAGGTACCTGTGTTGAATGAAACATTTCTACCTGCATCATTTAAAAAAAAAAAAGCCACAAGATCAGAACCAGATTTTTACCAGATTATTTAAGGAAATAGTATATTGATTATATATTATAATTATGTTATAAATATATTATATTATATAGTATATCAAACATTGAACTAAAGCCAGACTTTCTAGAAAGTGAAGCTAGTAACAAAGCTGCAAGAATTAATGAAATTAATGAAATTAAAGTGCTACATGTAGTGTGTAAGTGAGTGTGGAAAACACAGTCATAGCAAGGGACTGGAAAAGATCCATTTATATTCCAGTACCAAAAAAAAGGACAGTGCTAAAGAATGCTCAGGCTATTGAACAGGTTTTTTGCTTGTTTGTTTGATCTGTGTGCCGCCCAACTCCCAACAAGTAAAGTTTGTGCTTATCTCACATGCAAGTAAGATAATGCACCAGATTTTCCAATCCAGACCAGCATCTCATGGAATGAGTACTGCGAAAGTACAAGCAGGATTCAAAAGAGGCAAGGGCACCCAAGATCACATAGCTAACATCCTATGGATAATGAAAAAGGCAAGGAGTCCCAAAACAACATCTACTTTTTATTGATTATATAAAGGGTTTTTGTATTGTATTGTCTAGATGACAGTAAATTATGGATAGCCCTTAAAAGTATGAGTGTGCCAGACAACCTAATTTGCCTATTGAATTTATATAAGAAGTAACAATTGGAATGGAATATGGAGCAACTAAATACCTCAAATTAGAAAAGAGGTGTATCAAAATTGTATGTCACCTTGTTTATTTAACATTATATGCATAGTATATCATGACAAATCCTGAACTAGAAGAAATAAAGATTGGAATTAAAATTGCTGGGAGAAACATCAGCAGCCTCATTATGCTGATGATAGCACCTTGATGATTAGAAATCAGGAAGACTTAAGGAATCTCCTGTTGAAGCTGAACAGAGAGTTCCAAAGCCAGCCTACTGCTCAGTATTTTAAAAAAACTAAGATGATATCAACAGTCATTACCATCCTATTGCAAATAAGTGGAGAAGAAGCTGAAGTACTAACAGACTTTATCTTCCTAGCTCAAAAACTCATATTGGTGGTGACTGCAGCCATGAAATAACAAAATAGCAAAATGACATGAAATAGCAAAATGACATTTGCTCCATGGGAGAAGGACTGTGACAGATCTTAACAAATATTAAAAGTGCAGAGACTTCTCACTGACAACCAAGCTATATATTGCCAAAGACATGATTTTCGCAGTTGTAACATGTGGATAGGAAAGCAGGATCATCAGAAAAGCCGAATAAAGAAAACTTGGAAAGAATGAATTGGATAGCAAGAAGAACAAATATTTCAATATTAGATGAAATAAAACAGATCTCACCAGAAGGACTAATAATGAACTTAAAACTTAAACCTTTTGGACATATAATGTGAAGGATAAGACCCTGATTCTTGGAAAAATTGAAGGCAATCAGAAAGAGACCAACACAAGCCAAGGTTTTAATTTTTACTGTAGACATTTCAAATTTGTCTGTGTTTAAATTTGTCATGCAAACTGGTGAAAGTCGATTTGAATTGCTGCAGGATATAAATGTGATAAATGAATAAAGTGCTAGTTACTATAACACAACTGTGATCTTGCAAGAATGCAAAAGAAGCCATTACTAACAGGCAATCCAGGCAATATGATAGCCGTCAGATCACAAAGAGTTGGAAGTGACTGAGCAGCTGAATAACAAAAACAGATTTAGGAAAATACCGCTTTTTCAGACCTAACCTGCCAGAATGTTCTTCTGACATTGGTTGTGAGGAATCAAAAGTAAGTGTTAAGGTTCATAAAGTAGGAGATTAAGGGAGAGCTCATTTTTATCATTTAGAAAGAAGGTCATATGCTCCTTCTCTCACAGTGATAAACATAAGGACTTCTTCTAAGCACCTTTAAATCCTGCACTTTCTGGTTCTATGTTATGCGGTTATCATAAATAATAAATTCTGTGTTCTTTTATTTTTGCTATCCATTTGAGGACTGGTGCTAACGTCTTTGAAAGGTAGGGGGGCTTAGCAGTGTTATACTATATTAAATCACTTGTTGAACACATGATAAAATTGCTGAGCAATGTTTCACCAAAAAAAAAAATTCCTGCCAGGAGTCTGCTGAGTGATTTTCTTGGGATTTAAAGTAATAGACAAAGGCAGCATTTGATGGAAAACTTTTTTTGAATCTAAAACCTGTTTTTATTTTATATACAGTCATTATTCAATCATTCTGGCCTTTTAGAAGAAAACACACACCTTTTTATCAAACACATTTTATATTGGGTTTTTGTATTCAGGATGCTTAAAATGCACTATTTCAATAATTCATTTGAAGCTACAGTCTACAAAGTGAGATCATTCTTATTCAGTAGTGACTATTTCAATTTGGAGCTGATGTCCATGGTATCCAGTAAAGGCCTTTCTCACTGCTACTGCCTGAAAACCCTCATCTAGAAATGGCAGGGATATAATAATATTTCCTGCATGCACAAAGTATGTGATTTGTCAGTTAATTTTGCTAGGCAAATTGATAGCGTTTTCCTATATTTCAGGTGGGAAGAATGAGCAAAAGAGAAATTAGGCTGCATAAGGCTAATTAGTAAACTGACTGAATTAAAATTTGAACTGGAGAATTCTTGCTCTCTCTATATAAGCTCTCATTTAGCTTTGACATAAACCTCTTAAATCAATGGTATATAAAAGCATTTATCTGCTTTTACTTTTCTTTGACTCTGTGCTGCCCTACTTCAATTTATGATATATTTCTGTATGTATTTTAATATTTTCGTAATAAGGCCATTGTGCAACCAGTTCTTCCCATCTTATTCCTGCTACACACACCACCACCCTCTGCCACTCCAAAGAATTGGGGCCTTCCTAAACAATGTGGACTGTGACTATTTCTCTGGGATAAGGAGAATGATCAAGGCTGGGGAAAGCACAAACAAGGATTATTCAAACAAAAATGTAAATCTGTAATGATTAAGAATGATAAACGTGATGCTAACTCTGTGGGTGTAAAGAACAGATCCCAATGAGTGAGCAGTTTCATGTGTGACCAGATTTCTTCATGGAAGATCCTGGAATAAAATATTCCTTCCTGCCTCTCTCCTTCCATCAGTGTGATAATTCGATATTTGGACTTCCCATCGCACATTACATTTACTTTGTAAATCATGTATAATTTCTACTTTCTATGCATGTTTAGTGTTCTTATATGGAAGGTTTTCTACATAGAGTCTTTGATAATAAATAAAGCAGGCCTGGATCTTTGTAACCTCATTAAATATTCTGTGTATGCCCTGACCACCCTCAAAAAACAGAAGATAATAAATACATACTTTTCTTTTAGCTTCAGAAAATAATTGGAAAGCAAGATGAGTTTAAAACAGCTTCTGGAGAAGACATGCTGTCTCAGGTAGGTACCAATTCAAGGGAGATTCATATGAATTGTTTGGTGCATCTATAGAACTTTTTCTCTATTAAAATATTCACAATATTTATTTATTTACTATTTGTACATTGTAAATAAACCCCTAATGACTCAGATTTTTTTCTAAGATACTTTTCTATTCTGAGGGAACTCAGAATTAAGGTGAAGGTTATAAATTAAATAGATAAAAGATTTATGGATCATTGGCATAAAAAAGACACATTATATCACAAATAATAATACCTAGTTCTTGGGGTGCCTTCAATGAGTCTTGACTCCTGGTGACTATATGGACACGTCCATGATGTTTTCTTGAAACATTTTTCAGAAGTGGTTTGCCATTACCTTCCTCCTAGGGCTGAGTGGGAGTGACTGGCCCAAAGTCATCCAGCTGGCTTTGGCCTAAGGCAGGACTAAAACAGTCTCCAGACTGGTGCCTTTAACTACTATACCAAACTGGCTATAAATATCTAGGATAAGTATCTAAAATATGTTTTATACATTTTAAGTATCTTTAGTTATAATTGCATTAGATTTCATACAGAATATAAAACTTACTAAAAATGAAAACTTAATCAAATATCTAAGAAATGTAACAAATACAGTTCTTCAAGTTTAAAGGATCCACAGTAGGTGACTGCACCTTGACAACATTGGCTAATCTTTAAAAAAAAAAACAGTGTTGGACCTGATTAAAACTTGGATGGGAGACAATGAAGATATCCTAGCATTACTCTAGGCTAGACGAGAAGTTGAAAATACATCCCAAAGGAAAGCAATAACTAATTACCTGAGTATGGACATATTACTGGGTTTGCAGGATGAGGGGCGTACTTGCCCATTAATTTCATTCAATGGGTTAACTAAATTGACCCCCCAGGAGGCTATTAAGTTTCTAAGAACATTCAGCAATGTCAAATGAATTCTGAGAGTAGTTAGAGCAACTTAGTTTCCATTCTTAATTTGTTGCAAGAGTCCCTTAAAGGAGACCTAGAGTTTTCCTAAGTAAATTGTTCTGAAATGTTTCCAGTTGGACAACTGTTTTCTCAGTCACTCCTAACTCACTGTCTTATGAAGGAGCTATAGAACGACATTCCTATGAAGGTATTTCAAAGGACTATAGCCTGCTAGGAGACCCTAACTTTCTGTATTTAAAAAAAAATGTAGAATAAGCTATACTGTACACCAGGCTGTTAGAAGAGCTACATTATGTTGTGCCTTCAAAAATAAAGAATACTAGGACAAAGCTCTCAAAATAGTTTGAAAAGTGGCCTTGCTTTATTTCCTGGGTGTTGTCCATCTGCATTGTTGCTTATATTGCTGAAAATTAACACTTGTTTTTATCCTAGTTGATCCTCCTTTTTTCACTAATCAGTCAGCATAGGAGGCTTTTTCCTAAGCCCAGTTTCAACTAAAGTTTCTGATCGCAAACATTCATCAGTGTTGACATTTTGCATCTTTCAGTAGAAAAAAAAATTACAATTCAATGGCCTGAACAATATATTGCTAATATATTTAAATAAATAAATATGAAATTAAGAATAATTTTGAATTACTTTTAAAGTTTTATAGTATTAATAGATCACTGGCAAGACCAAACTTACACATTTAATAGGATATTTTAGTGATTGAAAATAATTTTACTTTATATTTTTAATTTAATCAAGGCCTAATTCCGATTAGAAATGATCAATTGATATTGACATGTCAAACAATTTTATTTCATTTGGAACAATAGGAGAGTAAGCTGAAGCATTCCTTTTCAGGATGAGAAAATACACAGATATTTACAAGACTTTTTGTAAAGCAAAGATGTGCTGTTGTACAAATTATATATGCTGTTTACAGACTGGAAAAAAAATCTAATGTCTGAATATGAAGAAACATTTGTAAAGACACTTTTGCACACACTGTTATAGACAAATAGAAGTCTAACACCCGAAGGACAGAGAAGGCATACCATTTAGATGACAGTATATTGAGAGTTGGTTATAAGTTCAGAAGGAGGATTAACTCAGTTAAATCAGTAATTGTGTCAGTAATGCATCCTCCAAATTTTAATCTTTACATAGCATAATTTGATTTATGGAAGAAATATGACACCAATAGATATAGCATAATAAATAAAGCATAATATTGAATTAAGAGCAAATAGAAGGAATTCAACTTCCATGTCTAAAATAATTAAAAGCCAGGTTATTTTTATGTAAAGATTTTCATTTATTAAAATGTTTTAAAACTACTTTTCATCCTCATGGTTTATCAAGGGAACATACAAGGGAACTAATGGAATCTTTATGTAATTAAAATAGCATTGAAATAAAAATATATAAAAGCAAGAAAACAATAAAAGATCATCTCATGCATTTAAAACGCCTGGACAAAGTTTTTGATGTGGCTCTAAATGATTGCAGGATCAGTCCCATTCTGACTTTCACGGACAAGGTTCATAAGACAGCTGCCATCTTTTCATCAATAACTGGAACTTAAATCATACTTGTTTTCCCTTGGTTTCCAAAGGCTCTAAGGGTCATGGCAGTGATTCAACAATATCAGCAGAGTGTACGTTGGCTGCTTTGCAGAGTTGCTTAATACAGATATGTTGAGCCTATCACTCTTAATGCACATGTTTTAAGGCGTAAATTGTACAAAAAGTGATCACCAAGAACCACCACTTTATATTTGAAACCTGGCAGATTTTTCTTTTAAAAAATTGGCAGCATGAATTTGGGGTTATGGGAGCCTCCCTGCTTTAGCAATTTGGATTCTAAGTCATTTAAGTTTTAAAAACAAGCATCATCACTTTTATTTTATCTTCAGCACAAATTTGCAGCTGCTGTTGCTCTTTCAGAAAAAACAGTTACACAATTCCATCTGGTTTACTTGTTATAATTCTGATATTAATTCCATATTATTTGAAGTTTCGGAGACTTTTCCTAGGGCAATCCTGTGTACAATATGTTACCATTATCAGGAAATCACCTGAGTCGAACCATTTGTAACCACTTAAGTGTAGCTGGATTTCAGCAAGGTTTATCAATGAGTATCCTTGAACTTCGTCTCAGGAACCGTGCAGGACTTGAGCGTCAGAACTTCCAATCCAAAGGATACCCAACAGGTGTCCTCAGCCAATTATATCTAGATATCACTTTTGTACAAAGCAATTTCATCTGGTTTGGATGACACCAGGAAGTCTGGGTATCATCCTTGTATATATGACACCTCACTCAAACTTCTGTAATGACCTCATTCTACAGAAGAAGCTTAAATAAAAATTGATACTTTTATCATACAGCACAACTCCCATGGGATTGAGGAAGTTGCTACTTTCTTAAACCACTGCAAATATATTTTAATATTTCTCCAGTTACAGTTAATACTTGTAGCTTTACCATCTTTCAACATTCTGAACTTACTTACTATATCCTTTTTAATCTTTTTTTTCCCTTCGACAACTAAGATATATAGTATTCTTTTCAATTCTATTCTTCAACAACATATTATTCCCTACAAATCTCTGAAAAGCTCCTTCCATCATTCCCTTGCTTCATTTTCATCCCATAGCCTTCCATCACATTTTTAATCCTATTCAATCTTCTTGGGGCTCCTTGTTTAGCCCTTTTCACCCACTTCCAAAACCACTTTTTATTTTCATCAAAATCCCTTTGCATGCTTTCTTCGTTTTAGTTCTTCCTTGCTCTCTTTGACTACATTCTGTGCAACTATTTTTGTCTCTCTACACATTATGCATCTCTTAACCTTAGTTTTTGTAGAATTGTTCTCTTACATATTTTTTTCCTCTCATCCACAGGCTCTTTTGCTTCATTATTTTATCAAGCATCCTTTCTCATACATCTTGTTGTTAGCATAACATTAGACATTCCAGGGGCACTCTGTAACATAATTTTCATTCTGGTTCAAGCAGCTTCCATATCCTACCTACTTATGTCTATTTTCCATTAATTCTGTTAAGAGAGTAATCTAGTTTTTAATACTTTTTTAATAGAGAACTTGTTTTTTCTGTCACTTTTACTCACAAAATAGTCTATCTCACGTTTACATTTTTCATCCCCTTTGTATCCTTCATTAATTTCCTCAATCTTTCATCATAAATCAGTTATGCTTTTAGATCATTCCTTCGCTATGTCATATGAACAAATATGCTTAAGCCACAAATTCAAAACAAACAGATCTTTTTCTAAACAAATGCATACCTATCCCAATGCCCATTCATTCTTGGGTCTTCAAATGACCCAGTCACTTTTTTTAGTACACTTTTGTGTCATTCCCACCTATCCATTCATATTACCTAGAAGAATATGCTTTTCTTGTGGATTGCATTCATTTAGAATGCTGCACACTTTTTCCCAAATCTCATCTCTGGTTCCTTCAGTGTCACTATTCACTGGAATGTAACATATAGGTAGTCCCCAGTTTAAGAACGATTTCCATTTCCAAGGTCTGTCTGTATGGTGAATTTGTATGAAACATGGAACATTATTATTGTATAATACTGTATAAGTAGTATTCTGTAATGAACTTGAACCATTGTGTATTTAACTTGAATTTTGCCACAGTAGGCTCCGTTCTTTAACTATGGGTCATCTGTAACCTGGGTGTTCTTAACCCAGGGACTACCTGTACAGTTATCACATCACCAATGAGTATTCTTCTTTAATACACATCCATTAAAACCTATATGTCACCAATTCATACCTTCTAACATACATTTTAGTACTTTGATTCATAATTACACCTTCCCTACACTATTCATCAACCTCCACAAGATAAAACACCTTCATTCAGATCTATTACATCCTCCCACTTTCTCTTAGTTTTACAGACACACCATATGCATTTTTCTTTTATTTCTTTTATTAATCCTGTTTACCATATGTCATAGTTGTTATCAGATGAGCCCATAAATATTGACCTCCGCCACTCATCATGGCTTTGGTCAATCAAGGCTTTCACATAAAGCTTTTTAGAAAGATGAAAGGTATAGACTAGGTGACCAACCTGAATTGCATCCATGCCACATACAGCATTCCCTGTTAATAGTAAGGAAAGTAGAGGTCACGTTTGCCCAGTATGCCAATGCCATAATATAGCCAAAGCCCAGTTTTTATCCAAAACATGCTCACTCTCTTCTGTAGAAACTAGGATCTCTAATGTAAGCTACCAAACAGTTGTCCACACTCCACTGACTATGAGATATATACAATGTATATATATGCTCAGGGTACCTATAAAGGATGATAAAATAAATATCTCCATGTCTTGTAATGTAAATATCAACGTTATTTCTGTCACATCTGGTGAATTAGTCCGTTAGTGAATATCTATTGGAGAAAGATAAAAATCCTAGTGGAAACAATCCTAGAATGTTTGTTTGAATCAGGTTCTTTATCTTTCATTTTTGTAAAATTATAAATGAATAAAGATATTACAAACTCACTAATTAGAAGACATGGCTGCAAAATATATTACAAAAGTAATGCAATTATCCTGAAAATACTAGAGTCCTACACACATTAATCTGGAATCAAAAGGACTTATTTACGCTTAAGCATGCATTGGATTGTGCTGTTGCCTAGTTACATGAGCACAAGAAAAAACATTCAGTAACTTTACTACTTACCAGTAACTACATTGCTTATGATCACCATGTCATTTTCTGCAAATGAAGACTAGTTTACAATGTTGCATTTTCATGAATAATTTTTAAATTATATCCTGTGTACTTGGGATAACATTTATTATGTTGTGTATTTTTTATTTTAGAAACTATGTTTAATAAAAGCTGCTAAATGTCATTACTGACCTTTCCCTCACTGTAATAACATAATTACAAACATGGTAAAACAGCCTGGTTTTCTGTTGTAACCAAAATTGGTTTGCTGCAAAGCCAGGATTTCAGGAACTTGCAAACCTCAATGTGTTTCTCCCCCTGATTTACAAATTCCTGCCTCCCCAATTCTGGGATCTGCAAATTGGGAGACAGAAACTGCATGAGGCTTGCAAGTTGCCCAGTTCTTTGCAGGGAGTGAGAGAGTCAAGGGGCAAATTGAGTGCCTTAAATCTCAGCAAATCTTCAACCCCGCCCCCCAGTGAAAAGGGTGGCGACATCTTTGCGGTAAAGCAAAGCACTCCCTTCTAGGAGCCTCGTTATTTACATTATTAACTTGGCTTACTTCTTTATTTGCTGTATTTTACACTCTATAAGGATTCGTGGCTTTAGGTCACTGTTGTCCCAACTTGGCTACTTTAAGATGAGTGGACTTCAACTCCCAGAATTCCCCAGCCAGCCCTGCTGGCTGGGGGATTCTTGGGGGTGAAGTCCACTCATCTTTAAGTGGCCAAGTTGGGACAACA